CCAGCGAAGCCCCGGGCCCTTTCTCCTGCAGGTAGCGGCGCCCAGCCCGGGCGGGCTCTCCGCGAGGGGCGTGTCTCTGTCTGGCCTCGCCCCCGAGGCCCCGCCCCGGCCCGGCTCAGCCTGGCCTCGCCCCCGAGGCCCCGCCCCGGCCCGGCTCAGCCTGGCCTCGCCCCCGTGGCCCCGCCCCGGCCAGGCAGCGAATGAGCGGGCGCGCCGGGAGGGCGCCGGTAGCCGCGCGGGGTCAGGGGGCTGGGGATGCGTGTGGGGAGCGCAGCCCAGCTCGGCTGTTGCTGGGCGGTCACCTGGGCTTGCCGCCGCGGGAGGAGCAGGGGCTGTCCCGGGAGCTGTCCCGGGAATGCTTTCACTCGGACCAAACATGGCTGCGGCCCTGCGCGCTGCAGGCGCCCTGCTCCGCGATCCGCGTAAGTGGGTCTGTTGCGGCGGCCGCCAGGGCCGGGGTTCCTGCGATGGCGTGGGCAGAGGGAGCAGCTGGCGCCGGGGCGCTCGCGCCCGGGGCATTCCGGGAGCGGCCGTGGGGAGCTGCGAGCAACCGGGAGAGGGGCGTCCCGGAGAAGGGAGGCGACGGGCTCTGCCCTGGGAGGGGTGAGGGCAACACTCCCGGCTCGGGAGGTCTTGGGAAGGGCGCCCGGATCCAGGAGGCTCAGGTTCAAGTCCCATCGGTCGGCTGGGTGGCTGGGAGCGGTGGCTGGAATTTCCCAGAGCCTTGGTTATTGTCATCTGTAATAACCAGATTGTGGTGAGGATTACGCAAGGGAAGGTATGTTATGGGACTGCCATAGAGGACAGTAAGGAAGGCATCGTCAACCTCACCACCATTGACATCTGCAGCGCAGTTCCCTCCCTGCTGAGGAAAGCCCATGGCCCTTGGTCCCTCGGTACCCACTTCTCCTTGGCAGCAAGACCCACCGTGGAGCAGCTTGGGGGTAGTGTTTTCTAGAGATAGTTGGAGAATATGTAAGACCCAGGAACAACCTCCCACGTTTTTGATGCAAACCGTGAATAGGTTGTGACCACAGGATGCGCTAGTGGGACTGTGGGTCTCACACACCTGGTTGGGACAGCATTTCTAACTGTGACACCTTGGACAAGGCACCTAACCTCGCCTAAACTTGGCAAATGTACTTTGAAATCATATCTATCTATCTATATCTATATCTATATCTATATCTATATTTAAAGGCTTGCCTTGAACATGAGCATCGCTTGGCACACAGTAGGTACACAGGAATCCTCAAAATGTCTAGCCATTCAGGTAGAAGGCTGCCACAAATAAGATGCTTATTTAATGCATCTGAACGGTGACTGGACACAGACCTGACATATTTCTCTAAGAAGTTCATCAGCCTGACAGCTACTTGGAGTGGAGAGAATCCCCTCTGAACCTCCATATCTCGTTAGAGGTGCCTTTGTTAGGAAAATAATAAGGATCCAGTGTACAACGAGGCTAGCTCACTAAGGGTACTGGGGGACAAAGGGCATTGTCTTTTAAGAAGAGGCAAGACAGTGCAAATTGTGGGACTGAAAGAAGTATTGAACTGATCTTTTCTTTTATCGACCTTTCCTGTGGCAAATAAAGTTTGACAGGTCCTAGATTTTAGGTCATGGAACAATATGTGAAGCTTTAAATTATTTGTAGTCTGGGTTAAAAGTTGAAAGATTCAGAAACTCTAGCAGAAGTAGATTTGGAGTCCCTTTGTGTTACAGGCTTTGAGTTGAAGGTGTAGTTATAATACGTTCATCATTTTGGTTGATAGGAAAGGATTGACATCTGTGTGAGAAAACATTGAGGAGTATTTCTGAAAATGAGTTCAGAAAGTAAAAGTGGAAAAGCAAAGTTTTGTACTTTATGTATTTAGCATATAACAGAGTTAATAAGAAGCTTCCTGGGGTAAGCCATATATTATCTGTCTGTCTGTTTAGCTATCTATATGAATTATTTTTTTTTCTTGGTGCCTTTTTCTTTCCAAACTTTAAATGTTTTTTGTTTGTTTGTTTGTTTGTTTGTTTTTTATGGAGTGTTGCTCTGTTGCCCAGGCTGGGGTACAGTGGTGCCATCATAGTTTACTGCAGCCTTGAACCCCTGGGATCAAGTGATCCTCTCGCCTCAGCCTCCCTAGTAGCTGGGATTACAAGCATGAGCCAGTGTGCCTGGCCCTCTAAACTGTTTTTTACACTGAGCATATGTTGTCTTTTGTAATTAGCAAAAGAATTCTAGGATAATAGAAGAGTTTTAGTGTTTACATAAAAGACAGAGTATTTTGGCTCCATTTCAGCAACTACCCAATGTTTATTAGTAGTTACAATATAGAACCTTATTTCTGTTGTTAATTTTGAAAATGGTACATATTTTATAAGTACTTTTGAAGTAATCCTCATCTCTTATGTGATAGAAAAGAGCCATTATAGATTTAAGTACTTGTGTACCTCGCCTTGTACCCTCTTCTGTCTCACCCCCAAGCATCCAAAATATTAATTTGGTTTTATAGAACCAATTGATACTTATGAACTTTTTTTTTCTTTTTTCTTTTTAATGGAGTCTCGCTCTGTTGCTTAGGCTGGAGTGCAAGTGGTGTGATCTTGGCCCACTGCAACTTCCACCTCCCAGGTTCAAGGGATTCTTCTGCCTCAGCCTCCCAAGTAGCTGGGACTACAGGCATGTACCACCATGCCTGGCTAATTTTTGTATTTTTAGTAGAGATGGGCTTTTACCATATTGGCCAGGCTAGTCTTGAACTCCTGACCTTGTGATCTGCCTGCCTCATGAACCACCATATTTGGCCCAACTTTTTTTTTTCTTTTTTCTCTTTTTCTTTATTTCTTTTTGCAACAACATGAAGTCATAACTTATGAACTTCTTGAAGTCATAGGTATACTTTTGAATGATCACCTATTGGGTTTGTCCAGGAGTTATGAAGTTTGTTTGTTTGTTGAGAGAAGTTTTTTTTTTTTTTTTTTTTGAGACCAAGTCTCACTACGTTGTCTAGGCTGGTCTCGAACTCCTGAGCTCAAGTGAGCCTCCAGCCTCAGCCTTCCAAGTAGCTGGGACTACAGGTGTCCCCCACCGCAGGAGTTAGGAAATTTTGTTTTCTTATGTCATCTTGTGTTTTGCTGCTTATCTCTGTTTGATAATTTTATTGTTTGTAGGCCTTTTTTCTTTTTAATTAAAAAAAAACAGAGATAGGGTCTCGCCATGTGGCCCAAGCTATTCTTGAACTCCTGGGCTCAAGCAGTCCTCCCGCCTCGGCCTCCCAAAGTGCTGGGATTACAGGTGTGAACCTCCATGCCCAGCCTGTTTGTAGGCCTTCTAAAGGTAGACCAGTTATCCATGTAAGGAGGAGGGACAGAATTACTTGGTCTTAGTTCATAAGTGGGCAAGTCTATACTATTGGATATTCTTCACTTCTTTGCTTAACCACATGCAGTGTGGCAGGCATTGTTCTTAGGGCTGGGCATATTCCCTCCACCCCCCTTATCTTTACAGCAGTGCTGCAGAAGTAGCCTTATCACTATTTTACAGATGAGAAAAGTGAGACTTACAGCATCTCAGTGAGTTGCCCAGGCCCAGCCAACAGCCTCCTGGTCCCATGTGGGATTTCTGCTCAGATCTCTCTGGTTTTCAAACACATGCTCTCTACACCACACAGTGCTGCCTGTGCCATCAGATTCTCTTTAGCTGTGAGCTGAGTCTTTTCCAGAGTCTCATTGGCCCTTTGAATGTTTATTTTAAACTCCTTTAACCTGGACACATGCTAATCATTTGGTAGGAGACACTCTTCATTTCTCTAAGACCTTCAGATCATTATGGGAGAGGAGTGTTTGAGATGACTCCTTGAAGGGTGAGTGTATTAAGTCCTGAGTGGAAAGGGTCCCTTGGTAGCAACATCATTCTCCTCTCTGAGAATCTGGTGAACCCTGAAGAAAATAGTTTTGTAAGTAGGACATGGTAATAGTTAAGCAGCTTGAAAAGTTACCAGCTCCCAAATTTTACTAGGAAATCCACATCTGCTAGCTGGAAAATCTAGTCCCTCCACATCACTTTCTTTCTTTCTTTCTTTTTTTTTTTTTTTTTTTTACCCCTTTAAATTATATGTAGAAACGGAAGTCTTGCTATTTTACCCCGGCTGTTCCCAAATGGCTGGGCTAAAATGATCCTCCCATCTCAGCCTCCCAAAGTGCTGGGATTACAGGTGTGAGCCCCCACATCTAGCACCCCCTCCTTTTTTTAGGTTCAGTGGAGGAAATGTTATCTTATTACAGATTGAGTACCCCTTATTCTGAATGCTTGGGACCAAGGGTGTTTTGGGTTTCAGATTTTTTTTTAGCTTTTAGAATATACTTACAGATTGAGCATTCCAAATCTGAAAATCTAAGATTCAGAATGCACTGACGAGCATTTCCTTTGAGTGTCATGTCCGTGCTCAAAAGGTTTCAGGTTTTGGAGCATTTTGGATTTTAGATTTTCACATTTGGGATGCTAAACTTGCACCAGCAGTAAAACTGTGGAATGCCAAGGTTTTATTCTCATGCCCCATGGAATCATCTGATACAATCTTATTCATATAAGGAATTAGGGACGTTGCAGCATGATTAGGAACCTGGTTAAATCCCATCATGAAGTTCAGAATTAGTCTTATGTAAGAGATGTGAGTTGGTTTGAGACTCAGAATTGAACTTCTTTTTTTTTTGGGGGGGGGATGCGTTCTGTTGCCCAGGCTGGAGTGCAGTGGTGTAATCTTGGCTCACTGCAATCTCCACCTCCCAGACTCAAATGATTCTCCTCCCTCAGCCTCCTGAGAAGCTGGGATTATAGGCACTCGCCACCACACCCAGCTAATTTTTGTATTTTTAGTAGAGACAGGGTTTTACCATGTTGGCCAGGCTGGTCTTGAACACCTGACTTCAGATAATCCACCTCCCTCAGCCTTCCAAAGTGCTGGGATTACAGGCATGAGCCATGGTGCCTAGCCTTCTTTATTTCTTTTCTTTTTTTTTAAATATCAACTCAAACCAGATGTAATTGAACTTCTTTATGGAAATCCAGTTGGAAATTTAAGTTCTTTATGGAAGTGGAATATTTGCACTTCCACTTTGAGTTGGTAAAGATGATTCAGCGTAAGCTCACATAATTGGCTCTGCTGGGAATGTGCACAATCTGGATGGTTGGAAATCTAATGGCCTGGAGATACTCTCTTACATTTTATAGGTGTGCTAGGTGATAAAAATTAGAGCAGGTATAGTTCCCGTCCTCTAGAAACTGACAATTGAAACTAATGCCAGCACTAATCACGTGGTGGGCGCTGCAGAGCGCTATACTCCTCTGCTCTACTCCTCACAAGAATCCCTGTGGCAAGGTGTCATTTGACAGCTGGGGAAACTCAGGCTCAGGAAGACCTGGCCCCAGATCACATTGCTAGTAAGTGGTAACAGACTGAGGCTCTGAATCCACAGAGCTGGATTCAGAGTCAGAGCTGCTTGACCACAGCCTGAATTCCTCCTCAGGGTACCTTTACCTCTTAGGAGGAGGAGGGCAGAAGGAGACTAATCGCAAGCTGGTTTCTAACTGGCTGGTTTGAGAATGGGAGAGAGGTCGTGTGCATAGCACCAGGTGCCATAGTAACCACTTTCTTCTGTGGCCATCTTCACTACATCCTATATGGCTTCAGTTTCATTTCGCTGGATGCTTAAGGACCAGTACTCTTCATATGCCAGCTGAGTATGGCACATGAACTCCTCAATTCAGGTGGGTTCTTCAGGTCCACTGTCACCTCCTGTGGGGCCCAGGACAAGGGTATACTTGAAGGCACATATATGGTATGTGGGATACAGCAAGCTAACAACCTGGGAAATAGGTTCTGTCCTCCTATGTTGACAAATAGACCTTCATCACTACCTGGAAGGGTGAGATCTTGAACTCTCTGAGCTCCTGCAGAAATGTAGAGGCCTTGGGAGAGCTGCCTCTGACTCACACACTTTTCTGCTTCTCCTCCTACCACCGGCTCTTTCTGGCCTGGCGAGGAGTCTGGCGCACAGCCTGGATGGATTCTCTGGTTTGCATGCCCACCCAGTTCCAGTCTTGCCCCCGCAAACAGCTATCCCTTGGCCACCATTCAGGTCAAGACTTGCTACACTAATGGCACAACCTCCCTCAGGAGGATGGATCCAGAAAACAGGCCTGCACAGACCCTGGGAGTGGGTGCGGAGCTTGGGGGACAGGGAGTCCTGGGGTGCTGAGAGCCTGGTCTGGCTCGTGGGATGTGGACTCCCAGGGTGGGGGCATGTCTCCTTGGTAGTAGAGGCTGCATACACCAAGGGGTGGGGTGCAGAGGGAGGAGGGCCAGAACCAGCCCTGGGAAGCAGAGGCCTCTTGTCAAGGTCCAAGGGCAGTACTGGGCTCTCAGCACCATTGCTCACCGAAGGAGGCTTGGGGGCAGAAAGAGAAATGCAACTAGTTGAAAACTGGCCTACTTGCCACTCCCTAAATTGGCAGCTTTTCACCTTTTCTGCAGTCCCTTCTCCTTCCACTGGAGCAACACGCTACCGTCAGTCATGTTGGTCACGTGCAAGGCTTCTTATGAGGGATCATATCAAAATCTGCAGCCACGGTGGGGAGAGGAGGTGTGTGTAGCTTCTAAAATGCTTCCCTGCAGGCTCTCATCAGCCATCCCAGGGGAGCGATCCTCCACCCCATCCCCTTGGAGAGGCTTTAAGTGCCTTTACCTGCCTGCAGAGAAATGCTAGGAAAATCATTTCTGCTATCACATCTCTTTAAATTTTAAAGCCAGGAATTATGCTCTCAGGACCTCTTCAGAAGAAATTACTTTCCAGCTAGATTTCATGCGAGCACTTTAATTTTGTCACAGTGGTGTCCGGCAGCTGGAGGGCCTGTCAGCCATGGAGGTGGAAGTCGGGTGCAGCTGCAGCAGAAACAGCCCAGCATGCCCTGGGTGCAAAGCCTCAAGTTCAGCCAGAGAAGAGGTATGAGTCTAACATCAGGTACAAATAAGGATTTCTCTTTCTTGATGCAGACCTCTGTACATATAAGCTGCCTCAGAGGAAGGGTGCTGGGAAAAGCCAATATGGAAGGAGGCATGCACTGTTGTCTTGGCTTCCTTTCAACAGCTGTGAAACAACAGGTTTTACACCCTCCTTCCCCACTTGATCCTTCCCCACAACAGGGCTATTGTTAAAAGACACAGAGCTGAGTCCAAACAGTCTGCAAATCGTGTTAAGAATTCGGTTCTGGAATATGTCACATAACACAAATGATATATGCTGGAAATGTATTTTTGAATCTAACGTAATTATGCCTATAAAATGTATGTTCTGTACAGGATAATGAATAACTGATCAACCAAGAATTTCTATAGGAAACTAGAGTATTGTTTTTCATTCGTTAACACAGTGAATGTAATTATAAAGGATGTAATAAGATTTATTGTTTATTAAAGAAGTGAAATACACGTTTCATACCTCAGCTCTTCTGTTGCTGGTGGCTGGCAGCAGGAATGGCGTTGTTGCAAGTGTCCTGTTTAGTAACAGAAGTCACAACTGCTCCCAAGTCCTCCTCTGTACAGAAGCAACAGAGGACTCTGTAAAGTTATCGAGATGAGTAAATAGAAACAGCACACTTGAACATCAGGCAGGGAGAAAGAAAGCTGCTATGACCTATTTAACTCCATGACCTTTCTGCTAGATCACACATTGTTTGATGAAAATTGTACAAGTATGAAAATAAATAAATATATATGTGTGTGTGTATATATATATATATATTTATTTTTGAGACAGAGCCTCAGTCTGTCACCCAGGCTGGACTGTGGTGGCAGGATCTTGGCTCACTGCAACCTCCACTTCCCATGTTCAAGTGATTCTGATGTCTCAGCCTCCCAAATAGCTGGGAATACAGGCATATGCCACCACACCTGGCTAATTTTTGTATTTTTAATAGAGATGGGGTTTCACTATGTTGGCCAGGCTGGTCTCGAACTCCTGACCTCAAGTGATTCGCCCGCCTTGGCCTTGGCCTTCCAAAGTGCTGGGATTATAGGCATGAGCCACCACACCTGGCCATTTTTTTTTTTTTTTTTTTTTGAGAGGTTGTCTTGCTCTTTCTCTCAGGCTGGAGTGCAGTGGCACGATCTTGGCTCACCGCAACCTACACCTACCAGGTTCAAGTGATTCTCCTGACTCAGCCTCTCAAGTAACTGAGATTACAGGTGCATGCCACCACGCTTGGCTAATTTTATAATTTTAGTAGAGACGGGGTTTCACCATGTTGGCCAGACTGGTCCCGAACTCCTGATCTCAATTGATCCACCCACCTTGGCCTCCCAAAGTGCTGGGATTACAGACATGAGCCACTGTTTTTATTTTGAGAAGGAGTGTTGCACTGTCATCCAGGCTGCAGTGCAATGGTGTGATCATGGCTCACTGCATCCTTGAACTTCTGGGCTTAAGCCATCTTCCTGTCTCAGCCTCCCAAGTACCTAGGACTACAGATGCACACCACCACACCCAGCTAATTAAAAACATTTTTTTTTTTCTTGTAAAGATGGCATCTTATTTTGCTGCCTAGGCTGGTTTTGAACTCGGCTTCCAGTAGTTCTCTGCCTTGGCCTCCCAAAGTTCTGGTATTACAGGTGTGAGCCACCATGCCTGGCCAAAACCAAAATTTTCTTATTTTGTGTTTGTTATTTTTGCTGTATGATAATGGGTATGATGATTGAGTGCTGTGTAAACTGAGGTTAGTTGGGGATGGGCCTTAGATAACCTCTTCATCTGGCAGCATGCCCAGCAGGGCCTCATTCCTTCCCTCCTTGCCCCTCACAGCCCCTCTCCCCACCTCAGCCTTACGCACTGAGGGTTGGGATTTGATATAAACTGAAGAAGTGATTCAATGTGGAACCCTGGAAGAAAAGTTATTTCATTTGTGTGTTATTTTAGTGGCAATAGTCATTACTATAAGTCGCCTTAGTAGTATTAAAATTAAATGAAAGTCTTCAAATTCTACTAAGTAACTTTAGAGCATATTTATATAAAAGAAACGAGTTCATTTTAGAGAATAGGCAAAAATAAAAAATAAACATTACGAATAATCTTACCACCCAATATTTTGTCTCTCACTTTCTCTTCTTAAAAAATAAAATAGAGACGAGGTCTCACTGTGTTGCTCAGGCTTGTCTTGAACTCCTGGGCTCAAACAACCCTCCTGCCTCAACCTCCCAGAGTGCTTGGGATTACAGGTGTGAGCCACCAGCCAGGCCAATTTTGTCTGTATGACTATTAATATTCACTCAGTATGTGTTTAGCAAGGTGTGATAGTACTGTACATCATATATTTATAACACACTCTTTATTTACTTTATCATCATATAAGTATAAATATATGTCTATATTAGTAACTGAAGAATATTTTATTAAATCATAAACTACCCTGTCCCACATTATGGGACATGTAGGTGATTTCTAGTTTTTTTTTTTTTTTAACTCCGTCACCCAGGCTGGAGTGCAGCAGCGCTGTCTCAGCTCACTGCAACCTCAGCCTCCTGAGTAGCTGGGATTACAGGTACCTGCCACCATGCCTGGCTAATTTTTTCTGTTTTTAGTAGAGACAGGTTCACTGTTAGCCAGGTGGTCTGGATCTTCTGACCTCGTGCTCCACCTGCCTCAGCCTCCTAAAGTGTTGGGATTACAGGCGTGAGCCACTGCACTCAGCCCTGATTTCTAGCTTTTTAATATTAGAAATGGTGAAGCAATGAGTGTCTTTGTGGATCATTCTGATGGAAGACATTATGAAGGCACTGTGCTGCTTAATCCTTGGACTGGACTAGACTATAATACTAGACTCAACACTACACTAGGTTAGGGGTGGACAGATTTGTTCTGTAAAAGGTTAGGTAGTAAATTTTTCAGGCTTTGTAGGCCAAACCCTCTTTTTTGCTGCTATTCAACTCTGCTGTTGTCATGTGCGAGCAGCCATAGATATTATGTAAACAATGAGGGGAACTGTGTTCCAGTAAAACTTTATTTACAAAAACAGGCAGTAGGGTTGTATGTGTGTACACAGATTTAGTGCATGGGCTATAGTTTGCCAAATTTTTTTCTGGAGGCATTGTAGACCCACAGGCCAAGCACGTCTTACAGGTTTGATGAAGAGCTGGGATCTTATTACTTTTTCTTGAGGCTGATCATATATAGAATAGAATTATCGTTTATTGACAAGCTTAAGTTTCTGTTATGTGCATTTACTATTTCAAGGAAAATCCTTGTGTTTTGAGAGTCCCAGGATATAAAAATGGCAAAATGTTGAAACCTTCCCAAGTGAGAAGTTCTAAATATGTTTTACTATATACACTTTTATGTTCAAACAAACGGAACAAGAATATTCAGACCTTGGTCTCAGGTGTGTTCTGTCTGGAGGGAAAGGAGACGGAGACCCTTGACTAAAGCTTTCACTTCACATTCTGGAATAGAGGGGTGCCAGACTAGGGCTTCCTAATGCGCCGTTCATCATGCACAACACAGTTTTGAATTAAGTGCATGTTGTATTTAGGTATTTTCAAGTCATGTGCATCTCTTTCATGTGTGAGATCAACATGGGTTTGCAAAACCATGAGCAGGGCAGAGCAGCATCCCCTTTAAAGCCACTCTTGTTCTGAGCTCAGGTGTTATAGATGAAAAACAGCTCTAAATCCCGTTTGCACATTGATACCCTCTGTGGCTTAGGTAAGTCTTTTAGCCTGAGGTTTTTTTTTTTTTTAACCAGTAATCTGTTAACTGGCAGCAATCCATGGGAAAATGCACTTAATTTATTGTGAGTCACAGATTTTGAGGGGGAAAGATAGGATCCCAGGAGAAGACTGGTGGTCTAAATAGAAAGATTAAAGGAATATTCGCTTCACAAAAGAATGCATCTGGAATTTTCAAATATCCAGGAAAGAAACCTCAACACCCCTGTTAATGCAGTCGTAGGAGTCCAGCATGGAAGAGTGATAGAACAACATCTTCAGTGCAGTCGCTTGGTTTTGTAAAAAGGGGATTAAGCCCTCTTCCTCTAAGACAGTGATTCTCAATAGGGGTAAGGGGGCATTTTTGCCTCCTGGGACAAATTTGGCAATGTCTGGAGAGATTTTTGGTTGTCACACTGGGGTGGGATGTGTGCTGTTGTCGTTTGTAGGTAGAGGCCAGGTATGCTGTTAAGCCTCCCGCATTACACGGGAACAAAGGACTCTCCAGCCCCAAACGTCAGTAGTGCTGAGGTTGAGAAACCCTGGTCTAAGGCAATGATGTGAAAAGGGACCTTAGTTAATCTTTATAATGGGTTCTGAGTGAGAAAATCCCTGCCCTCATTGTAATGCAACATTTTCCCTTCCCCAGGAATTGATTTGTAGGTTGAGAATTCAGGTTTTTACCTCATTCACTTACAATAGGTTTGATCAAGAAAACAGTTTCCACCTGTTTACATTTGACATGCCTTGCTGCCTTATATTATTGCCAGATGTTAATAATTGTTTAAAATTGCCCATTAAGGTGTCATCATAAGCCCGGGGCAGCGGCCTGATTGGGAACCTGAGCAGGGAGTTTGAGACCAGTCTGGGAAACATGGCAAGACTGTGTCTATAAAAAATTTAAAAAGTAGCCAGGCATGGAGGCATGTGCCTGTGGTCCCAGCTACTCAGGAGGCTGAGGCGGGAGGATCATTTGAGTCAGGGAGGTCGAGGATGCAGTGAGCCTTGTTTGTGCCACTGCACTCCAGCCAGGGCAACAGAGTGAGACCCTGTCTCAAAAAAACACAAAAACAAATGAAAAAGATGCCATCGTAGTAGTATTAGTTTTCAAGCACATTAAGAATGGTCTTCTAGCTGGGCGAAGTGGTTTACGCCTGTAATCCCAGCACTTTGGGAGGCCAAGGTAAGCTAGTTATGAGGTCAGGAGCTCAAAACCAGCCTGGCCAACATGGTAAAACCCTGTCTCTACTAAAAATACAAAAAATTAGCTAGGTGTGATGGTGCACACCGTCATCCCACCTACTTGGGAGACTGAGGCAGGAGAATTGCTTGAACCTGGGAGGCGGAGGTTGCAGTGAGCCGAGATTGTGCCACTGCACTCCAGCCTGGGTAACAGACCAAGACTTCATATCAGAAATAAATAAATAAAAAGGAATGGTCTTCTACACAGGCTCTGTCTCCACAGCGTTGGTTTAGTCACTGCAGTAGTCAGGTGGTCTGGTGTGGGAAATTCAGGGCGTGGACTCCTCAGTATTCACAATAACAGTGTTTAGATAAAATTCAGGCTGGTTATTTTTCAGCTGCTTTATTGAGAGTGAAAAGAGGGTATAACCATATAATGAAATATTATTTAGCAATAAAGAGGAGTGAAGTATACTGATTCATGCTATGACACGTAGCATGAACATTTTATGCTGAGTAAAACCAGACACAATCATGAACATTTTATGCTGAGTAAAACCAGACACAATCATGTGATTCCATTTCTATGAAATGCCCTGAATAGGCAAATCTATAGACCCAGAAAGTAGATCCGTTGTTGCCACCAGTGAGAGGGGAGGGAATGGAGAGCAGCTTTAATGGATACAAAGATTCTCTGTGGCGAAGATGTCCTTGAGTTAGATAGTTGTGATAGTGTTCTGCCCTTCCGGATGTATTAGAAACCTCTGAATTGTTCAGATTATGGTGAATTTTATGGTTTGTGAGTTATGCTCAATTTTTTAAAATGAAAAAAAAAAAAAAAAAAAAGATGAATGAATGGAAGACATGCTCCTTGTTCTTTAGTTTCCCAGTCACTGCCATCCCATGGTTACCTGTTCATGGGGACACACAAGGTCTTCTGGTGGCTCCCGCCAGCGTGCCAGAGGTACCTGGTCCTGTTCCAGCTTTACCTTGCCCTCTGGCGGGGAACTCCCGGCCTGGCTCATTTTGGGCTGTGTAGACTCCAGAGCTTGATCTGGATTTTAGGTTTACATTTTTGCAGAGTACTTTGTTGTTTTAGTTTTCCAGAAGCTGCTTGGCCGAAAACTTTTGTTCTGGAGCTCTGCTTCCTTTTTCTTCTTCCTGCTCATTCAGTGGTTGATTCTTTAGCCTGGGACTAATTAGAATGTTAGCACCAGTTCTTGTAGGAATTTTCTATGCAGTGAATTTACATGCAGGATGGAGAGGTGAAGCTTATCATAACAGGAGCCATGGATGAAAGAATAGAGGGAGGTCCTGGAGAAGATAGCAGAGGAGCAAGCAATAACTTGAGTCAGGCCTGGTGCGGTGGCTCATGCCTGTAATCCCAGCACTTCGGGAGGCCAAGGGGGCTCCTGAGGTCAGGAGTTTAAGACCTGATCTCAGGAGCCTCCTCGGCCTCCCGAAGTGCTGGGCCAACATGGCAAAACCCCATCTCTACTAAAAAAAAAAAAAATACAAAAATTAGCCGAGGTGCCTATAATCCCAGCTACTTGGGAGGCTGAGGCAGAAGAATTGCTTAAACCTGGGAGGCGGAGATTGCAGTGAGCCGAGATCCTACCTCTGCACTCCAGCCTGGGTGACAGAGTGAGACTCCATTTCAAAAATAAAATGTAAAAAATAATTTCAGTCAGTAGTCATTTAATAATTGACTAAAGAGACAGGAGCAGATGCAAGAGTGGGGATGGGCTGGTATTAGACTGTGGGGGTTTAAAATGATGGGGGAGCCCTGCTCTGTGTAGAACTTACCGTGTGCCAGCATGTGCTAAGTGACTGAAGATGTTACCCACTGAATTCTCAAAACAGCATTTTGAGGCAGGTGGTGGATGCTGTGTTTTCCAGATGAGAAAACCTGAAGTTGGGAGAGGTCAGGTAACCTTCGTGTTTATAAAGCATTCACATGTACAGGTGCTTTCGCCTCCGGACAACTTTAGATTTCTACCTCAACTCTCAGTCCCTAAAGATTCGATCTCTGTTCAGGCTGAGACTTTAAAAGGTAAACATTTCCAGCTGAGTGAAGATGATATCATGGATGAAGCCAAAAGACAAAGGTCGGAGTCTAAGCTGGGACCATGGGGAACTGGAGGCCACAGATGTCCCCAAATGGATATCTGTGTGATGGCAATGGAAAGAGCTGTAGTATTTACCTTTGTATGGAACAGGTTAGATAACAGTTTGCTGGCTGAGCCGGGCGTGATGGCTCACACCTATAATCCCAGCACTTTGGTAGGCTGAGGCGGGCAGATCACCTGATATTGGGAGTTAGAGACCAGTCCAACCAACATGGAGAAACCCCATCTCTACTAAAAATACAAAATTAGCTGGGCATGGTGGCCCATGCCTGTAATCCCAGCTACTCGGGAGACTGAGGCAAGAGAATTGCTTAAACCTGGGAGGTGGAGGTTGCGGTGAGCCAGGATCACACCATTGCACTCCAGCCTGGGCAACAAGAGCAAAACCCTGTCTCAAAAAAAAAAAAAAAAAGAGTTTGCTGGCTGAACCAAGATTCCACCCTCAAAGAAAATAATTGTGACAAATTAACCATTGTATGTTATTTTATATAGGAAGCCGAAAACTGGAATATTAATGCTAAACATGGGAGGCCCTGAAACCCTCGGAGATGTTCACGACTTCCTTCTGAGACTCTTCTTGGACCGAGATCTCATGACGCTTCCTATTCAGAAGTGAGATACATACAAACACCGCGACGTTATGATAACCTTGGCACTACATTTTACCTTACATGTGTTTCTCAATTCTGCAATTTCAAAACAGGAAATAGTTTTAAGGTGTATCTGGTAATGGTTAAAGCAGCAGCATTGTTTTCTATTGGATATCAGAAGGATATGATATCAGAAAATTGCAGGGGAGAGAGTAAGTTAGTGAAGATTCTCCTTGAGCTCTTTGCTCCCCAGGGCCCTGGAAATTGCAGTTGTCTTGACATAGCCTAAGTACCTTTAAAGATTTTTAAAGATATATTTGTACTTGGCACTTAATGGCTGATTAACACTCAGGGAAGCAATGATGATTGTTCATTTGTACTATAAATACGGATTGTTGCTGTCCTTTTCCTGTCATCCTTCTTTCCCTTCTTCCCTCTTTTTTCTTTTAAAATAGATTTTTGTAATGAAAAATTAATACATGCAGGTGATAAAAAGTGCAAATAGTATAAAAGTAATTACAATAAAAGGCAAGTGTCCCTTTCACCTTGCACTCCCAGTTACCCACATGGAGGTAAATGCTGTCACATCCAGAAATAGTCCATACAGATCCAAGCGCGCACGCACACACACACACACACACACACACACTCCTCCACTGTTACACAAATGTGAATGTAGTTATACACTATATTTGACACTTTCCTTTTTTTTTTTTAAAAAAATATGCTGTATCTTGTTTCATAACAGATTATATTGATATATAGATCTGGTTCATTTTTTGATTGCTATTTAAAATTGCATCATATGGCTGTAAGTTTGTTTAGTCTGTGCTTCATGATAGGTTGTTTGCAGTGTCACAGTGAACATTCTTGTGCATACATCTTTGCTCTTATATGCAAGTATATCTATAAGATTAATAGGCCTCTTTTTTTTTTTTTAAATTAAGAGGAATGTCTACTTCCTTGGTCTTATATCCTAGTTCTCGTTAGGTGTGGGATCAAAATGTGTTACACTAGTAGCTAGCACACATCCAGGCTCTCTGCATGGGTGTTGTGTGTCCTGAATCTTCAGGGTGTGCTACTGAAACAACTTGTGGAGCACAGCTGGGTTAATTCTCAGAGAGGGTCTAGATTTAGCTCCTTAATCTGCACCAAGGGAGCTGACTATTGTCATTGACCTCAAGCTTCTGTTTTAAAGGCTTAATCTTGTTAGACTCTCTCAAATTTTGCTTACTTTTTAAATTGAGTAGAAAACATTTCTCAGATTGCTAAGGTGGAGTAAAATTCACTTACCTGCATGTTAAATGATTTAGTAAGCTGGCACCATTCATCGCCAAACGCCGCACCCCCAAGATTCAAGAGCAGTACCGCAGGATTGGAGGCGGATCCCCCATCAAGATGTGGACTTCCAAGCAGGGAGAGGGCATGGTGAAGCTGCTGGATGAATTGTCCCCCAACACAGGTATGTTGTTTCTTCATTAACATGTAGCTAGATTAGTTCTTTCAAAGTAGTTGTGACATTCAGAACAGTAGTAGATGCTAAATGCTTCATATGTACTGGCAACTTGATTGGTGATGTTTCTACATAATACATGGTCAATTAATTTAGGTCTCCAGGCATTATCCCTTGACCTTTAGCCTCTGCTATTACGTCTTACATTACAAATAAATAAAGCTAAGGATTTGGGACATTAGGTTCAAAAGGAAGTTTGAGATGTTTATTAAGTTGAGCTAGAATATAAGGCACAAGCAACATACCATGAATAAAAGGTGCATATATCATTACGCTGGAAAGAAATCTTTGGAAAATGGATTGAGGCTGCTGCTGTTGCCTTTTCTTTCTAGTTGGATAGCTAATTAGAACATTGAGAGCGGGATTAGCTAGCTCTCATGGAAGCCACAAGACGCTAAGCAACTTGCAGTGATGCTTTCAGCTCTCAGAATACCACCATTGTAAGGTATTGAAGGTCCTTGTTGGACGTGACACTGAAAGAGGATTGTGCACATCTGAGAACCTCTATACAGAATAACAGTGTGCAGAGTGAACCACTATATGCATGGATGAAGTAAACATGCCATATTAAACACATCAAAGACACACAACTGATTGTAGGACACACTGTTTTTGTATAGTACTAAGACACAAAAGCACTACCAATTGATTTTAAGGCATCATCTATTAGCGACTGGACTGATATAAGAAATGTTAAAACCGAAAAAAATGTACATCTCAGGACACATGAATTACATTTGTTGCAAATATATCTTAGAGCTTTGGGATCAGGATAGGTTTGTGATGCTGGGGACCCTCAAGGAGAAGAGCTTCACTAGGCAGGACCAAAGGGAACCTTTTACTCTTTTCTGACCTCACTGAGCGAGCATCCACTCCAGCTGCTCTCAGAATCCACCGGTGCCCATGGCAGAAAGTAACAAAGGGCCCTGGCCCCTTCGCACATCACCTCACTTGGAAATTTGTTCAATTGTGCTTCTGCACATCCGGCTTGCTTCCTGCTTTCAGCTGGGGCCCAAGGGCATGTGGTTCCTCCGCACATGCCGCAGTGCATCTTTTAAAATGTCAGCCCTCCACTCACACCTGCCTGATAGAGAACAAACACCAGATATTAACGGTTTATCATGATCAAAGGCTTTTTGTGGGCCTGGCTGAGTGGTTCACACCTGTAATCCCAGCACTTTGGGAGGTCAAGGTTGGTGGATTGCTTGAGCCCAGGAGTGTGAGACCAGCCTGAGCAACATGGTGAAACTCTGTCTACACATACAAACAAAACAAAACAAAACAAAACGAAACCCCAAAATTAGTCAGGCATGGTGACACATGCCTGTAGGCCCAGCTATTTGTGAGGCTGAGGTGAGAAGATCGCTTGAGTGAGGGAGGTTGAGGCTGCAGTGAGCCGTGATCACACCACTGCACTCCAGCCTGGGCAACAGAGTGAGACCCTGTCTAAA